TTGGTTCCTTCTGCCCTTCCTACCCACCAATCAATCTTTTATCTGCCCTCCATCTTCAGATATATTTATTATTTTATTTCTTCATATATAGCTTGTATGTCTCCATATTGGGGACACAGAGAAGTTTACATAATTTTTCTCTCCTCCATTTTCTCATCATAGAAACTCTATGAGGTGGCTTAGGCTGAAGGTGTGTGACTAGCCCCAAGGCCACCCATTGAGCACCATGGTAGAGTGAGGATTTGAACAGGGACTCCCAGAACCTAGTGTGAAACTCTAACCATAACACTACACTGGCTTTCGTGGAGTGGCTGTTGTTGAACAACAGCAAGCAGCCAGGCCTGGTTGAGTCATGCAAGTTGTATGGTATCGAGTTGCCCAGTGGTTGCTGCCAGGCCTGGCCCTGATGAGTCCTCCCTCAAAGGCCAAAACAGTCTGGGAATTGACCCTGTCCCTTCCATCTGCCTTTTAAATTGCTTGAAGGCTGGCAATACCATTGTGGTGGCCTAGCAATGGCTCCTGAGAGCATTTATCTTTTAAAGCTACAGGCGCCGCTTCTACTATTTTGAGGGGTTTTAACCCTCCAATGTTTCTTTTTAAGATTTCAGCTTTTTCTGTAAACCGTGTGTGTGTGTGTGTCAGGTTTATATAAACATCTGTCTTTTCTGTCCATGATAGCCCCAGTTTTCAGTTTTATGTATGCACAGATTGGGCCATGTTGAAAATTAGGTATATTGATTTGAAGCACTTGAAATGTGTTATGTAAGTGCTCAAAAAATCTACTTTAATGAGGTCCCATGGATCTAAGGTGCAGGTTTCTGGAAACTCCAAGCTTGCAGAAAAATTCAAAAGTTGAAAAGAAATGAGAGCTAACACCCCATAAAGTAAAAATGATATCTGCACTTGTGCAAAAAAAAAACCCTGTATAATAGCACCCAAGGAAAAAAAGATGAGTTAGAGGGGAAACAGTAATAAGTGGGGAAATGGATTATACAGTGGGCAGTGATGGGGGGGGGAGCTGGCAGTGGCGACAGAGAACCAGTAGGACAAGCACCAAGGTGAAGGAACACTGGACAGGCAGTTCACCAAGAGGTGGGGATGGGAGAAATGGAAAGGGTGAGTGATGCAGAAAACAAAAAAGAGCTTGCAGATAGGAGGTGGGAGCAGAGAGAGAGCAGCCAAGGTGTGATGATCGAAGTGGGGGCTAGTAAAGGAACAAATCATTTCCCATTTTTCTTCTCAGGCCCTTTTCTTGTGAAAGTATAATTGCAATTGATGATGATGAGTTTTCACATCCATGTATTAGTGAGAGAACCATCCAGATTCATCTGTGGTTTCTTTTTAGTTCACAGATTGAGGTAAAAATATGTTTAAATACATATTCAATCCAACTGAATCTTCCTGGGGTGCTTGGGGATGTACACAGTGTCCTTGTAGTCATTGCACGGGAGGTGCAGCTGTATGTGCAAACTGTTGTGCGCCTCTGGAGCTATCACCATTGCAGTGAAAAAGAGAGAGAAATATACAGAAGAGCTCTGTGTGGTCACTGGAATCTACTGCAATGGCAAGGGTGTTGGCATGATGGTCTTTAAACATATTTTTTTTCAACATGTCAGTTTAATTTGAATTTCGTATCAAATGCATAGATGGATTTTCATGTTCTGAGATTAAATATCACTATCTGTATCAACTGATTTTGAAGCACTGTGTGTTTCACTTTGTATTTTTATATATATGAATTCATTATCATGCTTGGAGGGCCTTGCTTTCTTATGCTCCTTAGAAACAGTGACGAGGCTTCGGTCCCATGATTTCTTCAGGTTGATAAAGAGTGCAATTAGCCACCTTAATGCTTAGTTCAGTAACAATTAAACCTCCCTAGACAGCTTGGGATTGGTGTTTCCATAGACAGTAAAGGTGTTTTTAATTATTAATTATCTGGTTTGTTTCTTACAGCAGTCTCAGCTGTGCATTATTATTCAAAGGTTAATGCAAACTGAGAACTGGGTAAATTAAATTCATTTGGCAGCTAGCTACCTGATATAGACATTGTGGGATGCAGATTAGAGTCAATACTGTGGCTCTCAAATATTTGAAAGCACCAGTTTTGCCTTTAAAATAAAATTTAAGAATCATGGCTTTTAAAAACTCTTTGGAAAGATTTCAAAATATGATAGGTTGAGCATTCTGCTTTATAAAGCAAGTACATCATCTGTAGATCTATGGAACATTATCAGTTATTCAGTTAGTCTTGCATTCTGAGGTTTTATTGCAGAATCCCTTAGGTGATACAGGTAAAAGAAGACTCTATTATCTTTCAGTGAACAAAATGAATAGTTAAGCATCGATCACAACAGGATGCAATGTGATAGTTTCAGGCCTTGGGAATGTTGCAAGTCATGGAACAAAGCCAAAAACCTTCATCTGCTATAGATATAGTTATTTTTCACACCCTGCATGCTTACTACAGCAACTGCAGCAAATACATTTCATAGACAAATTCCTGAACATATGTTGTACCATTTACTGTTTTTCAAAAAAGAAAAAAGAAATTCTACTGAGGAAGGAATGGTGGTCAGTTATACCACAGAACCACCATCACAGTCAGGACAAGCAGATATCTTATATTGTTAATTTATTTTATGGATTATAGAGGCATATTTTACAGTCAAACACAAGAAGGCCTTCCTTGGCTTACTCAGGGCACTTTTGCATCTAACCCCTTGGACATGTGTTGCCTTGCATGTCTGCTTCTCTCCCTCCCCCCTTCCCCCCCCCCCCCCCGTATTTTAGCTGTAGGCATATTTTGAATACTGTTGTTATTGATGAGGCTGATATCAAATGATGCTGTTTCTTAAATTATTGTCTTTATTTATTTACTTATGTGAAAACTTGAAAAATCTTGTCATTTGATCAAAGAAGTCATGATGACAGGGAAAGATGAATTTGGCCCTTTTCTAAGCATCCTTTCAGCTTTTGTTGTTATAACCAAATTGGTGACATGGGCATTGCAGGTGGAACTGGGAAGGGCTGGCCAGGTGCTGTGCTTCACTCCAAAAGGAGTACTGGAGCTACAAGCTGAGCAAAGTGTGGGGGGGGAGATGGGACTTGCCACACCCACAAGTGTCCCTGTTAATCTTCACCTTCAGGAAAGTGAAACAGAGATACATCCAGCCATGGCAAGCGGGCATGAGTGCCATGCCAGGCTCATCCATGGATGTGTTGTCCTGACAGGGTCTACAAATGCAGCCCCATGGGGGGGCGCTTCACCATGAAACCTCCCTTGCGACACATGGTAGTACCATCCAAATTACACTCACCTGTCCTGTGTTGAAGTGCTCACAGATTGCTGGCAATCCATCCACAGCAGCACCTGCAGTTTGAGGCTCTGATTCTGCAAGGAAATGAGTAAAAGGGTTGCACGGCAAGCTGGTTCACTACATGCAGTTGAGCAGCTGCTAGAACCCTCCCCCCCCCCAAACCACAGACATGCTCAGTCCTCTGCTGACGGTGAGAAACAGGCAAATGACAGAGCATCCCCCCCCCAAGATCTCCTACGAAACTTTCCTGGGATCTTTCCCCATGGCATGTCAGGAGCCATAGTGCTGGCTTGTGCCACCCCTGCATGAAATCAGTGCTGTGCTTGAGTGCAGGAGGTGCTGTCGTGGCACCCAGCCTCAAGCGAGGGGAATGGGGGAGCAGGTTTGGGATCCTTGCCCTTGCTTACCTATGAGTGCATGGTTGCCCCTTTGGGCCGTGCCTCCAAAGGTGGAGTACATGTTAGGGTTCTGAAATGGGAGAGGTCAGCCACAGAGTATGGACTTTGCTCTCCTCCTTGGGTGTTAGCACTAAGTGCTCGCCCTGTAAGTGCTAAGAGCCCTCTCTGTGCTTTTCCCACCACCAAAGTGCCTTGCTGCTTGCTCTAAGTCCACACAGCAGGGAGCTCTGAGATGACATTCCGTGCCACATGCCATAATTACTTAGCTGAAAAATCTCCTGGCTGAAATAATTGTAGGGTGGAGGGGCTGTGACTGGGTGCTGAGGAGGGGGCTTGCCGAGCTTGTAGTTGGCATCCTGAGCTCCTCCAAGCCTAACTGGTGAGGCTGCAGTGGCAGGGGATGACTTGAGTTTTCAGTCCAGTTGGCACCTATGGGCCATGCCATGTTTTTTGTTGGCATAACTTTCCACCTCTGGCAGGTGTGTTCCCAGGCTGAAAGGGCTCAGGGAGCCAATGACCTCTGGCCATGTCCCCAAAACTGCCCACAACCATGCCGGCGCAGGGGCCTATGCCTTGGTTGTGCCAACTGGCAGCTGCCGCAGCCCTCCACTGGTGCCCAAGAGTGGCAGAGCATCGCTGGGGAGCTTCACTTTCATAAATGTACCTTCCTTACACTGGTGTATCTCAGACATACACTGACACAAAGGTCAGCTGGCTCCCTTAACGCTTTTGGAGGGCCCCTTAGGATTGTGCTGTGAGTGTCAGAAACTTAAACTATGTAACTTGAGGTCATCAGAGTTCCGAAAGGAGCCCACAAGCTGTACATGGACTGTGCATTGTCTACCTATGTTTATATGCTGTGCTTCACAACTATGTTTTCTAACTTAATTGGCAGTTTGTCTTTTTTTTAATCTTCAGTACATTTTTTTGTAATAATTGTGTGAAATAAAGCAGTCTTCAATGGTATTCAGTGGAGTGACTTAGATGTTCAGAAAGAAGGTTGTTTGTGATGATGCCAAGGTTTTATAGCAACATTTCATGCAAAATAATGTTATTACAATGCCACCTAGTGATAAGGTGAGTGACAAGGTAAATTAATACAGAATGTCTAACAGCTGTATGTTAAAAAACTGTTTTGAGTCAAATGACCTCAGATATGTACTGCAATGGAAAGCAGTTCAAGAATGGGATTTCACCATTTTTAGTTCTGATGTATTTTCAAAGTCACTGTGCACTTTTTCTGCAGTTACTAAATATACCACATTTTGTGTTTATGTTATAGTGCTGGACCAAAAGGAGACAACATTTATGAATGGAGATCAACTATATTGGGGCCTCCAGGTTCTGTGTATGAAGGAGGCGTTTTTTTCCTTGACATTACGTTCTCGCCAGACTATCCCTTTAAACCACCTAAGGTAAGGGGGGGAAGACACAATAATCTCTTCAGACACTTTTGTACTGAGGCTTTGCATGCACATGTGTTGTGTGAAAAAGAAAATGTTCAAAATTTTATGTCCAGTGTTTACAAGGCTACTTATAATATTAAACCAGGAAATAGTAATAGTATGAGCATTTTGATTAACTGCTGATGTTAAGATCTTTGCCAGCCTGAATGAATGAATTGCAGATTTCACAGGATATAGAAAAATATATTGTAATGAAAAGCTGTTAAGATGGTCTTGCACATTTCACTTCACCATGTGTGGATGGAAGATATTCTGTATTAGTCTCACTGTGAACAAGTATGGAGTATTTGTGTACCATAATCCATTCAACAAGACGGATACCATTTCAGCTGTTGAACCAGCATCCCATATTCCAGACTATACTTTCTCATAATAATTACAAAAACTGTTGCATGCAATCTCATTAGATGATAACAATGTCTTAGTGATATCCTAACAAGGCAGCTTCTTTTAAAATATTTCAAATCACATCAAATTAATTTGGTCTGCAAGAATCAGAAACTGAGGGGTTAAATCTCTTATTTGCAAACATTTTCCTGCAAAGGTGTCTAAAGTTAGAATTAGCTAGAACTGAAATCCATAAATGTGAATCTAGATCACAGTAATTTTTATTCCATAATAGACATGAAGTAGCTCTAAGATGGAAATTTGTATTTTTGTTTTACCGAGCTCTATAATTACATGGAAAGTAATATTTATTTCACACAGTTATTTGTCTCTTGGCAAGTGTATTTTTTAAAATTAAGTAACGCACTTGCAAAAGAAATAAAAGGCAATAAGGTACTCCTTCCACACTATATGATTTCTGTTTTGACTAATTTGTTCATTATATTTATCATTCTAAAATATTTGGACATATAAATTGCTGTGGGGTAAGTCAGGTGGTCAAACCTGATAAATTATTAAAAAATAGGAAATATGAAGAAATGGTTATCCATGGAAAAATAAGGTACATAGGAAACTGATACCAGAATTCTCACATTTGTTAGTGCTGTATGCTGTCTTCTCTGTCTTAATCTGTGACTTTTACGCCGATCATCTTCACTCATCGTTATAAATAGCCCAATCATGAGCATAAGCCTGAAGAGTATTTTCAGTATTGTGTGCTTTCCATACTTCCAGCATCTAATTCACATTAAAGCCCTTGGGGAAAATAGTGAGAGTCAATGTGAGAAGGTGACCATGTGTCTCCAGGAAATTGCTGAAGTCAGTTTTATATTGAGAAGCTGCAGTTTAAACCTCATGCTTGTATATTAAAAACATACATTGGTGGTGGGAAACTTTATGAAGCAGAGCTGTGCATTTAAGAAGCTGAACTGCATACTTGTTCTTGATTGGATCAGCAGGAGACATTATTTGGTGCTGTTGTGTCATTTAGATATTTCTTCTGACGTTGGCGAATTCAGCTAAGGAAAATAATTAAAGCTACAATTTCCCAAAGAGGTGGAAGAGTTTCAAGGAGAGACACAAGGTCCTCCGCATTCCTTTCTTCTAGCATGTACCATATTAACCTGAAAGAAATTCTAGTGTTTTTCCCCCACATGTGTTGTCAGCAAAAAGAGGAAACTCTCTTAAATTTGCATATAAATTACAGTTATGAGGGCCTCACTGCACTTGGCCTTTTCCATTGCATGGGTAATTGGATATATGCCATGGTTTATAATGGTGTAACTTTCTACCAGTTGGGGGCAGTGTTCCCTCTAAGCTGAGTTAGTGTGAGCTAGCTCACAGTTTTTTAGCCTCCGGCTCACACATTTTTGTCTTAGCTCAGGAAGGGTGGCTCCAGAGCAAACTAATTTATGCAGTAGCCAAATTGCTCGCTCACAACTTTAATGCCAGTAGCTCACAAAGTAGAATTTTTGCTCACAAGATTCCACAGCTTAGAGGGACCATTGGTTGGGGGGACAATTCCCACTCTGAGAGGGCTTAGGGAGCTGACTAAGTCCTGTCACACTCCTGACCCACACCTTCCCTCACTGTGCAGGGGCTTGCCCTGGTGACTGCAGCAGAGCTGTGCTGGCAGCCAGGACCAGAGTCACAGCGCCAGAGTGATGTGCTGGAGCAATTTTGGTTTACTCTGGTGTGGCACCAATTCAGCTCCCTGAACATTTCCCCCCCCCCACAGGACAGCTCTGTTTGAGGTTCCCCCCTTTCACTTTAAAAGTTTTGCTTTGCCCTAGGAAGGTACGATAATGAAAGTAGCCCTGTAGCCAGAAATTTTGGGTTGATGGGGCATGGGGAGATTTTGTGGGGCAGCGGGGGAGGGGAGGGGGAGGCCATATGCTCCCCCAGATCAGCTGGAGGGCCCTTTTAATGTCACAGGAGGGAGAGGGGAGGAGGAGGGCAGCAGCTGTTGTGGGTGTGCCTCGCACTTGAGGGTGAAAATGCCCCACTGTAACTACAGGCCTGAATGAAAATTTGGATTGAATTACCCAAAATTATTTTATTGTTTAGTTAATTTGCTTTTTTCTTATAATTGTTCTCAATAAATGAGTAACAATAAAGAATAAAATAGGTACATGAAATATCTAAACACACTCATACCATCCAATATGAACCCACTGGACCATGTCTCGGTAGCAGAGCACCAACTTTGCATGCAGAAAATCCCAGGTCAAATCCCCAGCATCTCCAGTTAAAAGGATCAGGCAGCAGGTAATATGAAAGACTGCTAGTTGTGAACCTGGAGAGTTGCTGCCAGTCAGAGCACACAATACTGACTCAGAATTAGGCAATGTCATATGTTCACCTCTGCAGTTCATTCCTGCAGAAAGTCAAATAGTACACAACATCTTAGTTTGGGGGGGTTGTGTCAGATGTCAATTATAAAAACCTACATTCAGAGTTGAAAACTTTGTATAGGGAAGGAAAAATAACATTCAGTGGAGTATAGGAATTTTAGTCTACAGTTAACTGTCTCTTTAAAATATTACTATGTACATTTTAAAGAGAGTTCTCCAACAAATGGAGTAAAAATATTTTTGCAAGAGAAGAAAACAAGAACTTTGCATCTGTTTAAACTAGGTTAAATATTAGAGGCAAGAGAACGGAAGTATTTTGTTGGCTGAAATGAGAAAGGGAAAAATGAAGAACGGTGACTGTGTTCTTTGAAGATATTTTCTTGAGATGAAGTGGCTTCTAGTGCTTCTGTAAAGGAAAACAAAACAGGGTTTGAGGGATGGTCAAAGTTGGCCATCTTTGCAAAAAACAAGTATAGTAAGGCTGAAATTTTGGATTTCTAACTTGTTAGATACGAGACTCGAGGCAGCAGGTGAACAGTGATAACAGCTTTATTGAACACGAAGTCAGAAGAACCAGAACGAGACAAACAATGGAGCTACAGGCTCATTTTTAAACTGTCCGGGCTTGGCAAGCCACGCCCACATGTCAGATAGTAACCAATCATAAACTGTACATAAAAGCCAATCACTTTGCTTCCCTCCAGATTGGTCGTTTTGCGATACCTTGGTCAGACTCAAGCTCAGTACCTTCATACATTATATTACATACACAACATATCTGATTCATCATAGAGAGCTGTGGTTCCAGAAAACACAAAGTACTTGTGGATACGTGGGGGAAAGTTGAGAAGGGTATTTTGGATCATGGCTATCATTATCATCATGTATATCATTGTTCTCAAAGAAGTACAATATATAAAGAATTACAAAGTAGGAATTATTAAATTATAAGTCCTTCCTTTCCTTTTATTCCCTTAGAAGCACATTAATTAACAAGTCTTGTCCAGCAGAAGATTCTCAGTCCTCATGTTTATTTTATTTATTTATTTATTTTGCGATTTTTATCCCGCCCTATCCAGTAGCTCAGGGCGGCTAACAACATCATAAATACTAAAACAATAAAAACGATTTTTATACAGTAAAATTGGTGTTAAAATCTATGCAGTCTATACAATTTACAAAATGCTCAGCGACTTGTTCTTGTGATCTTGATGGTAAACGCGTCCCAGCTTAAGCAACTGATCGACCTCATCGGGTCTCATAGGGTCTGGTGGATGGACGGTGCGGCGAGGTGGTATATGATGGTAGGGGCGGCGGCTCCTATCCAAAGGCCTGGTGGAAGAGCTCCGTCTTGCAGGCCCTGCGGAACTGCACTAGGTCCCGCAGGGCCCGGATCTCCTCCGGGAGCTCATTCCACCAGGAAGGAGCCGCCACCGAAAATGCCCTGGATCTTGTATGGGCCAACCTCGCTGCTCGGGGGGCTGGGACTACCAGCCGATGGAACATCCCCGATCTCAGTGCTCTTGGGGGAACATACGGGAAGAGACGGAAGGGCTAAAAGGATGGAAACAAATTTTGCTATCACCAGAGTGATCTTAGGATCCTTATTACTAAGCAAAGGAGACAGAGTTTCCATGGTGTAAGAGGACGATTCATCAATTAAAGGCTAAATATAATGATCCCTTATATTAAAAAAAAAACCTGCATTTAGGCAAAACATGAAAAGATGTGTCAGTCTTATTAAGGCCACAAGGGCAAATTCTGTTGGAATAAGGCCTATTCAGAAATCTACCCTGTAGAACCACTGAGAGAAAGTAAAGGAATGTAAAAAGACATTGCAAGTGTTATAGAAATGCCTTTTGAATCTTTGGGGCAAAAAATTATTTTGGTTTTTAGCCACTTGCCTGTGTTAATATTTAAGTTCAAACTTGTGACTTTTTACTGTCCTTCTTGTTATCATTGCTGTTTGTTTACTGTTGGTGCCGTGTGCTGGTTCAGAAGATTTTCTCCCCCAAGTTCCAATCTATCTAGTTCCATTCAATTCATTTTTATTGCTCATAGACCCATAAGTCATAAGCAAATAGGATATAATACGAAATACAACATATATACATACAGTACATTACAATTACAGTGACAATTTCACAAGATTAAACAATTTGGTTGACTGCCTAAAAGAGTCAATTCATTTAATACCACCCAGGGTTACAGATAAAAACTTTGCCACTGCCAACGTCACATTTGGATCAGTATCAGCTAAGAGATTAGCTACAAAACCAATCTATCTAGTGTGGCCACTCCATTCCAAGATATAGCTATAATATTTGGATCCAGTGTATTAAGTGTGTATTTGAATCGGGTAGACACAGATTGTATCGTCAGTTTCCAGGTTTTATGTGGGACATTCATCACATTATTCAGATCTTCACTTGTTGAATATTTATCAAGCAGCCTTGGAAACAGAGCAGGCTAACTCAGCGGATTAGGTCGGAAGGTGTTCTATCAGTCTCCCACCACATATAAGGGAGAGATCATGATCAGAGGTGGCCGTTGCAACAATAAATATCCTAGCATTTTTGAAGGTTTAAGTTTCAAATTTAAACTGTTTATTAAAATCTTTTAATCCTATCTGTAATTAATCTCAGTAATTGGGAAACTGTAAAAATTTCAGTGGGCTAAATCCCTCCTAATTCAAAACTAACAGACAAATCTGTTCTCTGTTTCTGTTGCAAATCTCAGCTTTTCATTGACATATATATTGTTCAGGAGTTTTAAAAGATTAGTATTGATTTACATTACTTTTCAGGGTGTTTTCAAGCAGGTATTTTCATTCAGGTTGGATAAACCCCATAATGATAGGCTTGTAAATGAGTCAGCATATGTTTAGGTTATGGGCAACTAATCCGTGTCTCAAAGACAATAATGCTAGGCAAAGCTGAAGGCGGTAGGAAAAGAGGAAGTTCTAACATGCGATGAATTGACTCAATGAAGAAAGCCATGGCCTTCAGTTTCCAAGACCTTGTTTCCAAGACCTAAGCAAGGCTGAAGGTAATTAATTTATAGGATCATCATAAATTGGATGCAGATTGACAGTGCAACACACATAACCTGTCTCTCAAGATCTCAAACTGTTGTTATAAAAATATAACTATCGACAAGATTGAGATAACCTATGGCCCTGACCTGGATAGCCCAGGCTAGCCTAAACTCGTCAGACCCTGGAAGCTGAGCAAGGCTGGCCCTGGTCAGTATTTGAAAGGGAGACCACCAAGGAAAACCAAGGTCATGATGCAGAGGAAGGCAATAGCAAACCACCTCTGCACATCTCTTGCCTTGAAAACCCCATGGGGTTGCCATAAGTCAACTATGACTTGACAGTAATAAATAAATAAAAACCAACTGAACTGAACCCATAAGCCAGCCATTAGCTGTAAAATCAAATGCCAGGAAATCAGATTTAATACTCCCCAACATTTCACAGATGAAAAGAAAAAGACTTGTATACATTAGTTGGCAGGACCGTGGGTGGAGTCAGGCAGCACATTAGCGTGGGCTGGTGTACCGTGGTAGGGCCAACACATTAAAGACTCAAATACATACAACCATATGGCTTCAGGTTACAAAAGGGATGAACCAATCAGATACCTAAAATGCACATATTCGTAGGCAGCAACATACACACATGCACTACATTCCATTTATATCACTTTATTGCTGGAAAACACTGAACCCAGTAATAAGTGGCTAGCACAACATTACTCAGTATGTACATGTCACACAAGTCTTAAGCAGAAATAACAACATATTTCTGAACATAGGCAGAGCTTTCCCTCACCTCTAAAATGAAGCCTTTCCATACAGAGAATTAAGGAACAACATTTACAGAATAATAACTTATCTCCAACACAAATTAAAGCCCCATCAACACCTATCTAATTAGGAATTATATGCTGTGACCCTGCCAGTAAACTAGTACTGGAGAGAATGTGAATTTTCTTTTGTTTTGAGTTAGTCCCTTGTAACATCAGTTCACTGTCTGTTATGCCTCAGTCTAACACATTTTCATCCTTCTCTTCTTCCAAGGAGGCCAAGAAAGTGTACGTGATTTTCCCTTCCACATTTTATCCTCACAAAAACCTTGTGAGGTGCATGTGGGTGAGAGAGAGAGTGGCTGACTCTTAAGTCACCCTGCAGACATCACAGCAGAATGGGATCGTAGTCCTAACCACAGCACAACACTTACATCATCTGCTGCAAGACAATTCCATAAGAACCAAAATATTCTTCAGACCATTTTTTGTCCTCATTTTTTTCCTATAGCTGACATGTTCTCTATCATTTTAAAGATATTTTTTCACACTTTCAAAATCTGGCAACAGTTTTAAAAATGGCATCTTGCGTGTGGGTAAAACAGCTGTAAACATGACATGCATGATAGGCCATTAAATCAAAAGAGCAGTCCTAAGCAGGTCTGCTCAGATGTCCATTTTATCCAGTGTGAATTACTCCAAGGAAAACATCCTTAAGATTAGCTACCCTGTTTCTAGGGGAGGCAGCCTCAGAAGGCGAGGCAACTCTTGTTGAGCTATCACTGGAGGCAGGTGCTTCCAAATGGACATTCGCTGCCAACACAAATTGATGCCTCCTGGCTCTTCTGAAGGACCTTCTTCACCAGTGAGGCAGAGGAAAGCTAGTTTGGGAGATTTACTTTGGGAAAGAAAAGCTGTTTTGTTTGGTTTCTGTTTCTAATGCAACGGGACAGTGCCTTCTAGTATGACTAAAGCAAGAAGCTTCTAAGTTCAGAGTCACAAAATCTGTGAGAATGCAAGTCTGTGATGTGTCTGCTTGGGTTGACCTTAGAACTCAGCCAATCAGTCTGTTCCTGGGCAGCAACCTGAAACTCCTTGTATCTCTCTGTTCGATGCAAGCTCCCTGTATCTTTCTGTTCCATGCTTGAAAAGAATAACAGTGCTTGCCAATGAAGCTTTTGGATTTTATCCCCAAGAAGCAAGCAGGTGCCAAGGAACACATTGGTAGGCACTGTGGTTTCCTTTATTGCAGCAGAGGGGATGACACCCCAGTGGATTGTCCTCAAAGTGAACAAGAAAAATGAAACATCTACTGACTGAACCTTGTGTCTTGATTTTATGCTGAAAATGTCCAGGCTGTGAGTCAATCAGAAATGTTAGGTCTTTAGTATACAGTATGAGATGCAATGTAATAAAGCTCACTACATCTTGAATATGTAGCATTTGCTAGCATGAAAAATCATATTACTTTATCATATTTTTAAATGATTGTGAGTTCAAAACATTTCTCGCTTTCCTTTTGTTAATGTGTGTCATTTATAGTGGGATTCTATATCAATAAGTGATATAGGTATAGGTAACATATGTGGTTTATACCCAATCACTTTTTTCCCCCTAGGTCACATTTCGCACAAGAATTTATCACTGTAATATTAACAGCCAAGGAGTGATTTGCTTGGACATTTTAAAAGACAACTGGAGTCCAGCATTAACCATCTCTAAAGTCCTTCTTTCCATCTGTTCACTTCTTACAGACTGCAACCCTGGTAATATTATTTGTTATATATTTCTATTTATGTATATAGTTGTATCTGAGTCAGCTATTGGGTCTTCGTTTCTACAGCTTTAAATAAAATTTAGTCTCATATAGACAACTGTTTCAGGGTAATGCTTCATGGTGTGTTAAAGTGTGTGGATTACAGCTTTTTGCATTTAATATTTTAGCGAACATTGAAGAATGTAATGAGTCCTTGATAACCTGCCTTTGGCAGCATAGCTGGCTGATGATAAAATAGATTTAATTCTACGGTCGAGGTTTGTAAGTGGCAGAGCAAAAGTACCTGAGTTACAGATAATATTAAGTTTAAAGCATTCATAGGGTGTACCGATAGTTGAACAGTAGTGTGGCATGCAGGGATTAATCAAGTGAATCCCACCATCTATCTGGGGAAAGATTCACCTGCTTAATTGTTGTATATCATGCTTATCTTAAAGGCCAGGAAGGAAGGAAGGAAGGAAGGAAGGAAGGAAGGAAGGAAGGAAGGAAGGAAGGAAGGAAGGAAGGAAGGAAGGAATTTGCTCTATTCATTGCAAACAGTGGTAGTTTATCCAGTTCAAATGTGTTTGTTTTACAATCAGTATTGAGATCTAGATTTTTATTAGCAATAGTAATGCAAGATAGAGACAATTGTTGATGTTTTCGTCTTGCATAAAAAAGATCTCTGCCAATTCTGTTTCCTTTTTGATCTGAGAGTATTTCTTGCCAGTTCATCCAGCCTGGACTCATCATGCTTTCTGCTGTCTTAATACTGTGTCTCAATCTGCATTTACATGTCAGTAGCTCATTGATTTCAATATGACTGCATATGAATAGTGTTTGAAAGGTTAAGTACCTAGGGATTGAATAAATTCTCTACTTGTGGTGTGACCTTGGTTTGTCTGAGTACATGACAACAAGTTTATGTGAAGTGCTTTCTTCAGCATTTTTTTCCGTACATGGATCATTTCTTTGTTTACTGAAACTGTGCATTTGAGATGCTTCTTTCTGAATTCAAAGATAGTTAAATGTAGAGATTTTTAAAGAAGTGTGTGAGTTGTTATGATGATGGGTTTTTTATTTTTGCTTTTTTCTAAAATTGTTCTCTCCTGGCTTTTTACACCCATTTCTTTCCATTCCAACATAGTTCTGGTGTAATTTTAACAAATTGTCAGATTAGTCATGCTTTGTAATCTGATTTTGAGCACAGTGAAGCAAATTGACTACCTTTTCCATTCAGTGAGGGAATTGCTTTGAGAATACCCCAGGCACATCTTGGAGAAATACATATCCGCACACATGCTTCTGTTCTCTATCAGCTGGGAGCAATTTTCAGTGCACTCCATCTTCCCTTCAACTTAGCTTGCCTCTGCCTGCTTTAAAGGCAGGAGCCTAGCAGGGTCCCCAAGTTGATAGGCAACCTTGTCCTCTTTGTTCAGCACTCATCTAATGGGCAGAAGTGGATCAGGTCAAATGGAAAGGCAACACCATCTTCACAAACACACAAAAAAACCATTTAAAATATACAGGTCCCACCCACCCCCCAAGGGAAACTCTGGTATTGGTTATCCAGCAGTCTTAGATATATGCAAATCTTCATTAGAACAGCAAATAGGAATAAGAATGGCAGCTAATTAACCCCCAGCCATACACAGTGATTAAACTGTGCTGATGCACAGCTGCAGCTTCATTGGCAAGCACTGCTATTCTTTTCAAGCAGGCCGAGGAAATGAAAAGAGGTATTTGCTCCCAAAGCTTCTGTCACTCACAAGGTAATCTACAAAAGATGTTGAGAAGAAGCTCTTTCCTCTTTGGTTTTACATCAGCACCCTTTTGTTTTGGATCACTCAAGGCAGGCACTTGTCTGTCCCTTTTAAACAACTAGTGTGATATTTGACTTGTAAACTGTCGGAGGCTCTTCCGTTCTGTTGCTTGTGTGTTTTTGTTTGGCACTCTCAGGCAGCAAGCTGCATTAAGAGGTGTCTGATTTTTTTTCAGCAACTGGATTAATTTATTGCCATGTTGTGGGGGAGGATTCCATACACGTGTGAATTATGGTACCACGAGTGGGGTGGGGGAATAAATGAGGCAGTGGAACTGGCAAAAGAGAGGATTAAGAAATGATGACATTAGCCCCAAAGTATTTTTTTAACTTTCAAAAGAACACCATGAGAATAAGCACCTTTTGCTGTAATCTTGTTTAAAGTTATACAAAAGAGTTCACACTCTGAGTTTAATTATTACCAGGATTTCAACTTCTATCTTTTCTTGTGATATAGCATTTATGCTTTTTGCATAGTTTGCATTGGATGACTACTGCCATATGTAAACTCTTTTTATTTTTGAAATATAGCGACAATTGTATGTTTTTGGTATCAATATATGTAAATGTGGCACAAGTATTGTTTTATGCCAGACACAATTATGAAATTAACTTTGGTTTATATTCACCTTATATATCGTTGGATGTCCTCTTCCTGACCTCATTTTACTCTTTCTTTTTTCTTTTTCTTTTTTCTTTCTGGTTGCAAGGACCTCTCCCTTTCTTTTTTCAGTTCAGCCTAAACATTTTGTTTGCTGAGGATAATAAAATGTGGGGGAAAGCTTCCCCTTTTTTAAAAAAAATCTGAATTCCAGTTAAATAAGATACGCCAGATATTTATGCTACAAATATGTAGCATAATGCTAAAGCACAAAGAATATTTAGGGATGAGTTACAGCTCCATAAGGAAGATCAGATGTAACTTCCCTGTGACAGCATTCTACATGTTAAGTGCACCATTAAAAACACTTTTCTCAGTGTGTCAAGCTAAATACACCAGCATCTCCCGATCAAATGCTGCACATTCTAGGAGAGTTAGCATGCATACTGTAATATTGGTATTTCAATATCATGCTCATTTCAGGCTCCGAATGGAAATTGTATAATTTAATTCACTCCTAAGAAATTCAGGCAAGATAATATCAAAACTGGTCATTAAGTTGTATGCATAGAATTCCATCTGTACCTTGTGGCTAGTAATCACTGATGTACCTCTGCTCCATATCTATATATCTAATTTTCAACAGTTCCCTCTGCCTGCAAACAGAGAGCACATTCTCCCCAAAGAGGTTTTTCTACAGACTTGGGGACTCCATGAGACTGCAGAAAAATCAAGTTTAAAAAAAAAACTCGGGGAGGGTTGAATTTCCCCAGTATCTTTTGAAATGGCCACTGCAGGGTACTACTCCAAGCCCCACCACATTGACAGTGAAAGATAGACTGGCTGATAGCCAGAGAGAGAGAGAGAGATAATGAGTGGGGGAAGAGGGAAGGAAGCAAAAGCAGAACTGGAGCTGGGATTGGGGAGGATTCCTCCTGCAGTATAAATGGCTAAATAGGAGGGGAACTTCTCACCCCTACCTCTTGCTGCAGGCTCCACTGTTCTCTTAAAACTTTCTCATGGGGGAGGCTTCTAACTGTTTAAAGGGACTGCAGAAGAAAGCCCCCCTCCTTAAAAAAGCTGAGTGGCAGAAGCAATCTGCTGCAGCCCCTATCTGTTGTTCCAGGTTTGCCAGTAATTCCTGAAAATATCCAGTATTTTATCAGGGTTTTTTTTTTCCTGTTCTCCCAGAAAATCTCAGATACATTTGGGATGTCAGAATATGCCCAAAAATACTAATAAGGTGTTTTGGGGGTATATTTTTGGTTCATGTGGATCCAAATGCACACCCCTAATTTATACCTTTCCTAACCTGCAGTATACATTTTATCTGAGCTTCCAGTATTGTAGTTTTAAGTAATCTCCAAGCTTCCATGAGGGATTTGACCCTCCTTACCTTTCCTTGTAGTTTCTTCTTCACAAGCCCCCTCATTTGAGAATAGTTACCCCTTCTTAAGTTAAATGTGGTTGTGTTGGTTTTTTGGGGCAACTCCCTATTTACATAAATACTAAACTTAATAGCAATATGGCCACTGTTCCCAATTGATGCTATTACGCTTACATCTCTCACTAGATCCTGAGCATTGCTTAGGTCCAAGTCCAGGATTGCCCCACCCCCACCCCGGTAGGTTCTGTGACCATCTGCTCCATGGCACAATTATTGAGAGTATCTAGAAACCCAATCTCTTTCTTCTGACTTGAACACATATTGACCCAATCAATGTGTGGTTAGTCAAAATCACGTATTATGACACAGTTATTTCATCTAAGTTTTGTTGTTTTTAAATCATCCTCTAACCTTTGATCTGATGGGCAATAACAAACTCCCAGAGTTAAGCTTCCTTTGGGGCCCACTGTTTTCACCCATAGTATTTCTTTAAGTGAATCTATTTCTCCACGATTCTCATTTTTATTAGACTATATACCCACTCTGACATTCAGAGCCATTCCGCCTCCGACCCTTCTCTCCCTATCCTATATTATGAAGAAATAATTTTACTTTGGCTGTTTGAACTGAGCAAAGCCTTCACCTGGAGTTTTAAAATGTTTTCCTCTCTAGGCAGAGAACAAGCAAGTTTTTCCAGTTGTTTGGTAGCACAATTTTATCCCAGTGAGTTTACCTGTTTGTATCTATGAATAAGATGTATTTCCAATATAGCTAAAAGTTGTTCTGAAAACAAATCTGGGGGAAAAACTTTCTTAAGTAGTTGCTAACATTTTTAGAGTGCAATCCTAAGCAAGTATACTCAGAAGTAAATCCCATTAAGTTCAGTAGGATCCAGTCCTTGGTGAGGGTGCTGAGGATTACAGCTTTATACACCTGTATTACAGAATTTAAATAACTGGAATTTAGCTTTCTATAATAATTGGGAAGCATCCTAAATTCTGTAGGGTTCTAACATAATTAAGGTTATAAAAATCCTCGATTAGCTCTGGCTTTTTCAGGAACTTGCAAGCTGAGTTTCAGTGAGGTCCCTTAATATAAACACATTCAGTGCATTCATTATTTTATCATATTATAGTTAATGCCTTACCTCAACTATGAAAAGAGGGTATACATTCTACTGGCTGATTGAAAGCAACCAGTTGTCACACTTGAAAACATCACATACCGTGAAATAGCCTAGTAACTTCCACTATTCACTGTGTCCCCAAGTTTCTTTAGTACCCATTCATTCAAGACATTTTACGCCCCCCACCCTGCAAGGGTGTAGACTTTCCAATTTCCCGGAGGGGGGGGCTGGGGCTGGGCCAGAGGCATTGCTTTGCTAGGAGCAAGGGTGGCTCCCGGGGGAGGCTGAGCACCTTCCTGAAAATTTCGACGGGGGCTGACGCCCCGCCGCCCCCACGAAGATTACACCTATGCCACCCTGCCATTTCCCCATTGCCCTCAGTCTTTGCCTCATGATTCCATGCCTTCTCTGGACTCCCCCACTTCCTTCCATCTTTTCTTTTCCCATTTTTGCATGGCCCTTCCAGCATCTCTCCTGCTAGCTTCAAACGGCAACCTCCCTTGGGCACTGAAATGATATCTGAACTACAAGTCCTTCCTTGTTCCTCTCCTTTTCTGTTAGAGACCTGGAAAGATTTTTGCAGAGTAAGGGCTATTGCCATCCCAGTGCCCTTGGTGAGTCACCGTTGCTGCAGTTGTGAAACATTCCTGAGAGCACACATTGCTGTCTGTGTTGTGTAGAACATGAAGGGTAGAACAATTTCTAAAGACAACTGAGAAAATAATGAATGCTAGAGAATGTAAAAAGATTCCTTAGTTGTCCACCTGAGTTTGTTATTCATCGGGCAGCTAAGATTTTGTATTGTCCCAGTCTGAGCTTTCCCAGTGTTAGCTTTGCACAATAGACAGACACAGGGTCTCTGTCTCTCACTCACTTCATGTCTGGGCATGAGTTTTGAGGAACGCACGATGTGGGGATAAGACTTTTTCTTGCCTCCACATTCTTCCTGTCTGCTTTATAGTGGAGGAGGAACATATGAAGAAGAATAAGGAAATGAAAGTGTTAAAGACTTCACACATGGAAGAGGAGCAGGGCTGAGTGCCGGTATATGTGGGTGCAGGGGACTTCCTCCTGCATCTGTGTGGGTATGGCTAATAGTCCTAGTACAAGATGTGGTTTATTTTTTTTACATTTATTTACTTGGGATTTATATCCCGCCCTACCCAAGCAGCCCAGGAGTGGGGTTATATCCCACCCTACCCAAGCGGCCCAGGAGTGGGATTCAGGAACTAGAGGGCTGCCAGCCCACGGGTGCCACACACCGGTACAGAGGGAACGCCAGGCAGAAATCAAGTCCTGGATGTCAAGGTCAGACCCAGGAGCTGGAAACAGAGATGTAACCAGTCCAGGCGAGGGTCAGCTTTGAGACAGCAAGCAGGGTGCAGAATGGAAGCAGGAGCTGGGCTAGGCAGGGGCTTCCATGGCAAGGGCCATTCTGCCATTCCAAGTGTCCTGCCTTCTATGAATGAACTTGGGCAGCTTCGTCCCCATAGTAAATTATTCCATGTGAACACAGTGGGGTGTTTCAAGTACTTCTTCTTGGTTCTCTTGGTCATTTAAGTGGTCCTAGACTTTGTAGGGCTTGGTAGAAAAGGATTGGTCCTGTATAGCAGCAGAGTAGGTGCTGCAATCTAGAGAGGACACCCTTGAGTCCAGTGGCTAAATATATAAACAGAGCTGGCAGGACAGTCCAGACAATAGATATCTGAAACCGAAATACCAGACCTGTCAGCTTTGGACTTGACTATAGATTGTGTGTGGTGCAGATGGTGAAGTGCTGCAGGCTGGCTCGAGCCCTTTCTCAGTACTTTAGAAATTAAGAGCATAAGAGAAGCCAATGTTGGATCAGGCCAATGGCCCATCCGGTCCAACATTCTGTCACACAGTGGCCAAAAATACCAGGAGTCTTGTAATGTATGTTTGGGAATGGAACTGACTCTTGCATATGGATGCATGTTTGTTTCTGAGTAAAAGTTTCATTGGACATAAGTGTTCTAAATAAATCAGAATGAAGTGATTAAATTGGTTATATATGATTAGGTACTTAAAACGACACATATAACATTGCAGTTATCCCGAGATCAAAGACTGTGTCTGGTAAGATGAAGAGTAATGGTTTACAGTTCAGTCAGATTGAGTCAGCCAAGCTGTTTTTCAGTGTTTGGGGACAATTTTGAAGGCACAAGACAAAACATTTCAGTAAGTGATTTTACACTGATCACTTATTTCAACACATAAGCATAACAGAGCTATCTATGTTAGCTCTGCAACGCATCACTAATGGTTTTGCTTACACTTGTCTGTTTCTGACATCTGTTTAATGTCAGAATAGCAGGGTATGGTAGTGGCTACAGTGTCAGACTAGGACCTGGGAGACCTGAGTTCAAATGTGCATTTTGTCATGAAGCTCACTGGGTGACCATGGGCTACTTACTTTCTCTCTCGGCAGTTGTTGTTTAGATGAAATGGGAATGGGAAATCTTGTCTGCCTCCCTGCAGTTTTTTGGGAAAAGAGTGAGATAAATATGTAGTAGAATATGTATAAAAGCTGGCATAACAAAGTGCTGTCAGAAGATATTTCTCTACTGGAATCTGAATGTACCTGGTTAGCAATGAAAACAAATGATTTACTGTGATATTGTCATATTATTAAGGGGTACAGGGAATAGTCAAAATAATATGTGATATGCTTTGTTCTGTAAGGTTAACGGATGTTAGCATTTTGAGTTCCCTTAGAGGATACAGTTGGCTTGTCTGATTATACTCTTGGGGCTATATATTATAAACCATTGAACAAAGTCTCATTTTTGTTACCTGCTTTACTTCCATTTACATGAGGTAGAAAATCTCTTCAAAAGCAGTTGAATTGGCTCTTATATAGCCATATCTATGTAATAATTTTTGTGTATTGTATTTACTATTTTATCGATGTGTACGATGGCTCCTTCTCATTCTTCAGCAAGATATACTATTCAGTGGCAACTGTCAGAGCACTTTTATTTGCAGAGCTGATACTATAAAGAGGGTTTTTTCCCTGAAGCATACTATGTTCTTGTCCTGTCTTTTTTTAAAAGAAAAAAAATAGCAATGCAACTAATGTAGTCAGGATTCCAAAAGAAAGACAACTCAATCAAACTGTTTTCTCTGTGTGCGGTTGTGTAAGCCAGTCAACTTTGTGGGCAAGTTATCCACCAATTCCAAAGTGCTACCAACCCTGGCATTACCTAAGAAATTGTAATTGCCTCTCCCAAGAAAGGGAGTAACTGCTACCAACTAGCAAATTTGATCCTTACACTACTACTTCCTTGCTTTATTGCACCCTGTGAATGCCTTCTTCCTGTCCATTGGTTCTAAAATATGGGGCAATTCCTGCTAAGCCCACAGTGGGCAAACTAGTCAAATTTCAATAGGCCAGGCTTCAAGCCGCCCCTCACTGTCATCTCCATTTGATCCCGTGGTTGTGGGCAGAAGCAGATTCTGAATGCTATGAGCAGAGAGAGATTTACAAAGTTTGATATGTCAGCATTGCTATGAGCAATCATGGCTTACTTTTAAAGCCACCAGTTATTTTAGTGAGTCATAATAAAACGTTTCACATGGATAATGGTTTTGGATTCTGCTCCAATGGAGATCTGTTAACTGGATCTTCACAACTAATTTCTTACATCAGCCTTGTGTCAACCAATGGCCTGTTTCAGATGAAGTTCGGGAGCTCTGTGACATCTGTATTTTTTCTTACCATGTGAAGATTTCAAAAAGGTTCAAGGAGAAATGCATTCATTCCCTCTTCACTTCTGTAGAATTGTTATGTTCCCAGCATATTTATTTCTCTCATTCGCAAAGAAGAGGCTCACAGTCCTCCCCTTCAGAGGCAGTGGTGGTGTTGTGAGCGTTCCACACTTTCCCGTAACTACCTTTCCTCTCACTACCTAGATATGTTGTGTGTTTTTTCGGGATTGCTTCAGGGTCTCTGCTTTCCTCTCATTCATCAGTTATGCCAACTGCCCTCTCTGCTAGCATGGTGGGCAGACTTCTAGGCCAAAATGTAATACTTGCAGATGGGCCTGCCCTCTCAGAAATTAATCCCTGTTTCTGCTTTATAACTAAATCCAGAAACTGCCAAGAAGCTTCGGAGGTTTGTAACTTGAAACGTGTTCATTCCCCCCTTCCGTTTAAGAGTGGTTGTACGTATTTGATTATTGCTAAGTTGTCGGCATTGTCTGGTTCACATGCTGCTGAATGAGGTGAACAATTTGTAGTATGCCATATCATAAATTAAATAAATACTACGTATGGCCACAGTGGCCTGATCTTAGTCCTCAGGGGTACCAGCACAATGTGACAAATCCCAACACAATCCCAGTGGTTGCACATCTCAGAATTTAGTTTGGCAATGTCAATCACTCTTCTTAATTCTGGCACTTCATTTGACATCATGTGACTAAGATAACGTGACCCTTGCCTCGTGGTCTGAATGAGCACTCACTCGGAGCTCAGCAAAGTGGTTAACTGTTTTGTTTTCTTTGCAGCTGACCCCCTGGTTGGAAGTATTGCTACTCAGTATATGACAAACAGAGCAGAGCATGACAGAATGGCCAGACAGTGGACCAAGAGATACGCTACATAGGAATCTGCTGTAGAACATGCTGGACCTGTGCAAGCACATTCACTAAGTGCATCAATAGCCCTTCCCTTATTTTTATTACAAGCGTTTTGCGACAAAAGTTGACTTCCCTCCCCCCTTTTTTCCTTTATTTTTATTCTTTTATTTTATTTTTTCTGTTCAACTTGAAATTTTTAATCTCTAAAATATAGATTGGGAACTTTGGGTTACAGTGCAAGGAATGTTGGATCTGTAATAGTATAGAGCTTTGTCACAAAGCTTTGTATTAATGTATTTTTTTTCTTTCACGTGGTCTTTGAGGGAAAAAACAAGCAAACAAACTCAAACCTATATCTTGTTTCTACTTAAATGTAGTGTTTAGGGTTTTGTTTTTTTTTGTACGGAAGTCTCTAATGGTGGGTGCATGTTACTGGGAATAGGTTTTGTATAAAAAGCATAAAATCAAGAATCACTGTGCATTACTAAGACTGTGTTTTAACACTAGCCTTCTGTTTCCCAAACACAAGGCTGTTGGTTTGAACAAAATGATATGTATTTTGATTTACTTAAAAGAAAAGTGCTTGTAAATTTCTTAGGGACCTGCCACTTTTGACTGTGGATCGGTTGATGTACACTTGTATTATGAAATCACTCAATAAAAAAAACACTGTGGCTGATTACCTGTACTTCTTGTTGTACCATTTCCACCCCCAAGATCTGCCAGACCCGTTCTCACTCTGAGCTTGGGCCCTCAAGCAAGTAAGATCCAGCCCTGCTTAAGTCGGAAGGGGGGAGTCACTTTTGCGGACTGAAACCCACTTTTCCCAGCAAGGATACCTTGCGGCTCCCTAACACACTCTCTCTCTGACTCTCTCTTTCTCTCTCTCTCTCTCTAGCTGGGGGGGGGGGGCTTTTCCTCCAAGCACTGCCACTACCTCCTGAGTTTTTTTACCCCCTTTCCAGTTTGATGCCAGGAGGAGCATCAAACAGGGTTCTCTCAGTAATGCTAATCATGGCAGGGTCACAAAGTAGGAATCCAGTAAGCCTCTTTATATCTTAAACAATAAATGCTATGGTTACTTTGTGAAACCATGATTCAGCTTACTATCTTTCAAATCCTGATTTGCCTAATTAAATACTGATTTCATTTCCTTTTTTCTGTTGCCTTGCAGGGTGTTGCCAGACAACAAGCAAGGATGTCTGTATTCAGACATCACGCAGAACCATAGTAACATTAACTGTGATAAATAAACCCGCTTCAGATCCTGGCTTGAGAGACCCTAATTTACCATATCAGCGGAGTGGCCTTGATTCAGACAATCACACTAAGTTAGCTTAATTAAAGCACATTGTCTGAAGTGAGCAATTTTCTCTGTTTGTTCTTAGTCTGTGCATGGTGTGGGGCCCCAACAAACACACAAACTGTAGGAATAGCCATGGACATTTGCTTCATTCTGGCCCCCAAGTGAAGATGCTTGCTTACCACGCTGTGCCATAGAATAGCATGCTGTGTTAAAGGTAAGCTACGTCTGTCCTGTATGTGCAGCATTTCTTCATGGCCTCAGTCCAACTGTCCCAGATGTTGTACTGAGATCCATATAATGTAGAAAGAGGCAGGCCTTCATTACTGACCAGTGAATTAAAAGGATTAAATTCCTGCAGTTTGTATGACCACCAGATGTTGGCCTTTGCTAGATGCTGGTAACTCGGCAGATTGGCTCACTGCCACCCTCCCAGTCTTGCCTACATATATAATTATATACTCAAGCTACAGATTGTAGTGGGTTTTTTTCCTCCTAGATTGTATTCTGATTTTTAAAGCAACTGTTGTTCTTAATAAATCCAGGTTGTGCTGCACAAAAATCAACCCACTGCACCAAACATTTCCAGCGTGTAATGTGGCAAGGGTATTTCTACTGAGAATTGACCTTCAGGCTAATTTTAGACATGCCGATCTAGAAGGAAAACTTCGTCAGCTAAGGAAGTGTGTGGGTGTTGTGATTTGGAAAGTATATGTTCCAGGGCTGATATTTAAATTGTCTTCATTTTACAAATGCAGGGCTCAAAGATCACTATCCGTTATTATTTCACACTGCAAAATTTGTTATTCAATACTTAAGTTTACATGTATTCATAAGACATTAGTGTCTGAATTTTGTATCGTGCTAACACTTGTTTTATTCAGGAGTGGAAAAAAGGTAGGAAGAACTTTGTATCAAATGTCACTATATCTAATAATAAATTGGCTGTCCCCCACAAGGATGACAAAAGTCATGCAACACAGCTTCCCCCGACTGGTTAGGGGTCTCTACATATTCAGGGGACTCCCAGGATATACAGGAAAATATTACTTTGTAAAAAATTTTAAAAAGTGGACCACTGAGAGTTAAATATTACCCCCAAAGAACAGAAAGCCAGTTGGCTGTTCAAGATAAAAAGGGAGAGGAGAATCAAGCTTGCTCCAGAACTAGAGAGCTCCGAGAACCCAGGAGGAAGCAGAGTGGGCTTCCCCAACTGGGCCCTCTTTTGCAATTCCTCATGGGGATGTTATGTCATTACAAAATTTAAATAAGACTTCTCAAAAATTCTATGAATAAGTTAATGTGCATGGGGCTGAATTAAAATGTAAATATGTATTTTCATCCTCTTCTAATATGTTATGTATACCTACCCACAGTTTTTAAGCCACTATAATAATTCTAAATAATTCCACTACTAGGAACCATAGTAGTGTTTGTATATTTGTACATTTATGATAATCTGAAAGATTATCTTTTCTACTTTCTAATTTACATGAGAGATCTTGAAAAATTGTGGCTTCATTGCCATTTGGCTTTAAATAAATGCGAGTATTTCACAATACCATTAGAGAAGATTGTTCTAATTTAAAACTATTCCGTTGGATTAGTTCTCACTATTTGAGCTTTTTAAAAAAAACTATTATCTCTGTGTTTTCCCACAATTACGGTAAACACAAACAACATATTTCCAAGTCAAAATCTCATATTAGCTCCATCCCTGCTGTTCTGTAGGTTAGGTGAAGGTAAATGACAATCAATAAGGATTGTGTCGGCATTTAAAATGGTGTTGAGGTGATACGTTCAGACAAGTGCTCAGCCTCCTGGTGCTAAGAGAAACAATTATGAAAACAATGCATTGTGCCATAGCTGTCTTTTTCATCCTATTTCAGCCACATACTCTGCAGCCTCATTGTTAGTCTTTGGAAAATATAACCAGGCCAGTATTCACAATAAAAGAGTAATCTATAAATTTTGTAGGGAAGCCATGTGGCGTCAGCCTAATTAGTTTCATTTGAAAGCCAACATAAATCATCCTGTGCCCAAATCTTTCTACAGTGCAAATGTCTACATAGGAATAGGGCTTGTTTATCAGTATCAAGCATTAAATTTCCCTTAGCATCTCTAAACTGTTTTCAGAGTATTTATGTAGTCGTTCTTATCAGGCTGAATTCCTGAAAAGCTTAGTGTTCTTGACATGAAAAGCATGACTAACATCTGAGTTTACTTCTACCACCACTGATCCCTATTTGTGAGATGTCCTTGGCAAGCACTGCTTGTGCAAGAGATTGCATTCTTTCTATTGCTAGGAAAGACTGCTTTACTTAAGATTTCAGTTCACGCATGCGATACTCCCACAAAATCATATATGCACCATCCCTAGAGTTTAGAACATTGCCAAGGTTGTAGGGAGGTGTCATTTGTGATACTTCCATGGATCTGCAGACCTCCTGATTCCTGAAATGTTAGTGCCTTGAAAATATACATTACCCATGTGGAGGCACCTTCATCATGCAAGTACTGATGCACTCTTGAAACAATTGGGTCTGCATGTATATGAACTGGCCAAAGCTAGCTTATGAAACTGGCCTAAAATCAAGCTTTAGGCTGATCCAGCATAGCAGCTTTTATATTCTCTTATAAATTCCATTTTAATCCAATGAACTCTGTCTAAACCATACAATAAAAAGCAGGAAACATCTTGAAATGATAAAAGGAAGGAGGAAAGTATCTGTGTTTGAAAAAACTGATGGGAGCTCTAAAATGTGTTCATACCGATCAGCTGTATGAAGCTGGCGGTCTTGTGTTAACCATGTGCACCTCTTGTGTCCTAGAAGAGATTCACTGTGTGAACAATGTCAAGTAAATGTAACAAGAAGACAAAGTTAGATGAAACCTAGAGATAAATGCTGGACAATTAGTTCCCTACATACTTAAACTGCCCTGGTAACTCTAAATGACAGCTAAAGAACACCTTGTACTAAACTCTGGAATAGATTAGGATGTTAAAAGAGCCCTGGAGCAGAGCCAAGTGTTTCAGCTTGCTCCTGGCCCCCATTGGCCTTCGAGGACACTGGATCACCAGGAAGTTACACAGTACATTAAGGGTCAGTCCACCAACCACTTTCTATGTTGAGGGTGTTGCCATGCAAGCCTATCAATGTGTTTTTATGAACTGTATGGACTGTCCAAAGGGACTGTACAACATGGTGACCTGGGAATACCTGTTGAGACTGCACACCTGAAAGAGGGACACCTTCCTTTAGTGTTGCTGGTCCAGTGATGGTCCAGAAGTACCAGCCATCTCGCCTGCTGTGAGATGAAGCAGTTCCATAAGACTGTACGCCATGCCATGGAAAGACACGAGGACAGAGAACTCCAAACTCAGGAGTTTTCTCCAGCACATGTAGGCAACCCCCCCCTCCTCCAGACCTGCAAAGCTGCAGGTAGCTCTGAGACTCTAGTAATAGTTGCTTAGCAACTAATCGCTCAACCATCAGCAAGGCGGCCAGGGCCATTAAGAGAACAGCCTTAATCTGATGACTCATCTTACCTGCACCCAGGTGCCAGCTTACAGTCTAAGTTTCTAGATCTCAATATTGACCACTCCTTAGTTCCCCCTCTCCTCTTCCAGCCAGCCAATAGTATGTTTTATAGGACGGACTAACAGTAGGTGTCACAGGGGGATGTGGCCAGCCTAACCTGCCCCCCACCCCACCTTATAAAAGGTGCTTACCGACCACATGCTCTCTCCTTCTCCACGACACCTATCGAAGCTTTAACCCTCTTATGTCCAGCTTGCTATCCATATACCCTACCTCCATTTTTAAACTCTAGTCTGCAGCTAGAGTCAACATCGTTCTGCCACTTCAGAGCACATGTTCCCCATTTTCCATTCTTATCCCCTCCATTCTTCCTTTGGAACGTCTCAATCAATGAGGACAGGTAAATATCACCCAAGCAACGAATATCCTGCTCATGCAAACGTGATAATTATCTGTCTTTATTTCTTAGTATAAGTATAATTGTGTGAGTGTTTGTGTATTGTTTGATTGAGACATCTCTACCAGTATAAGAAATTATATTTCACCAATCATAGTCTCTGTGTCTGTTCTGGTACTTACAGTAAAGGTGGGACTTCTGTATAAATTGGTGCGAACCCTAATTTGCCTATTGCCAATTGATAATCATAACTTCCCCTAGATTAATTGAGAATGTAAGGCAATTTGGCTAACAATGGGAAGGAGCATGAACATGTAAATAACAAAAGAGTCTCATTAGTAACTTAAGACCATTATTTTTATGGAACAGTGTGCCTATTTATGCTTTTCCAATCGAAACTGTTGTAAAAGGTCACACATACACCCCCCAACATA